ACTGACACCAAATGGTGCTTCTGTCTTAGCTGGACGTGACCATGTGAAAAAACAATGTTATCTCAATCTTGTGAGAAGGATTTATAACTGATGATGGTACATCTTAAAATGTCTCCTGCTCTGTATGGTTGCTGTGGGAAACTGAGTGGAAGTACCATAGAAACCTGCAGAAGATTATGTAAGAGAGTCCCTCATGCCCTGTGAGCAATTCTAGGTGTTGTGGAGAGGAGAAGACTCTGTAGGAAAATACAAAAAGATCAGAAAATCTTGGTGGCCACTAAAGGCTGTGGAAACCATAGGAAATAATCAGCAAGGGAGAAGCTTCATAAGTAGTTGAGGCAGGGAGAGGATGTAGGGAGACAGAAGGCTAGAAAAAGTGTTAAAGGGATCTGCACAGCTTCCATGCTAGACTATATTCTGAAAATAATCTTGAATCTTGAGGGAAGCCTCCAGAAGATAGCAGAGTGACTTTGCAGCAAACTTGTCAATATGTCCTTTTAAGTCAGGCCAGAGAGCAGCTGTCAGCATCAAGAGATGATTCCATAAACAGTGAGTGAGATAGACATTTTCTGGGAGCAGAATACTTTATTGTACTGCAAAGAAATTACCAGGCTTTTTATAAAAGTTTTCCTATTTTCTTCTTGCTCAGTCTTCAAAAGAGTTAATGTCATGTAAATTTTTCTATTGTATAGAAGCTGCACAAGCTATGTAAAATATAACTAGACACAGGAAGAGTCAAACAGGAAACAGAAACTGTTAACAGGTATTACATTTATGTGTTATTAATCTCTAGTACCAATATCCTTTAAAAAGGGAAAGAAAAATTAATCATTGTCCTGTACATGTGATTTTCAGTTAAATGAAGATTGGATTTACCAAGACATTCACAGTATATTATCTATAAGTGGAATAATTACCTCCATTTACAGCTGCTATAAGAACCATCAGGATCTGTCAGTCCTAAATCAATCAGTTGGAAGCAATTGATTTCTGACCTTCTAGGTCTCTCCTGGTTTGACTGCTTATCACTGCTCACGGCTGTTATCTGTGCCATTGTGACAAGAGGCAAGCTCAGACACCATCAGTAGTTTTGGAACACAATTACTGTGTCCTCTGTATGCTATCAACAATGAACACAGCCATACAAGCAGTATTTCCCCTTGGAGAAACAGGCCTTATAATGAAATTTGCTCTCTGTTAGAATGAAACACTAACTAGCACAACCATGATAAGCATATCTGCATCAAAACCTAAATGATATCTATCTTGAGCATTAAATTACAGAGCTTTCTTTCTTCAGGTCCCTGTATTTGCTGTGGCCTAGAAGGACAAGGACTTAAAAATCATTACCACAAGCAGTGCAAAATATTATATACTCTGTGTGAATGTAAATGATGAGAGCAGCTGCAACTCAGTAACTTGTGCTAAATGAAGCTAACTTGCAATGTTCCAGTAACTAAATTTTCAGATGACTGATGATTTTAGATCTTTTAAATTAGTGTACTGGAGACTGGGGTTTGGGAAGTCTTTCTTTGTCTTTTTTTTTTCTTATTTATCTTATTTTACTTAGATTGACTACTCTAAAGGAAGATTCAGAATATCATTGGCTCAATGTGGCCAAAAAATCCTTACAGTTTGGACAGCTTTTAAATGGGAAGAAAACTCAGAATGGGTTGTCAGATTTTTATTATGGCGCCATTCCTGTCGAATCCTTGTAATTGGAAAGACAAGCATGATTTCCACAACAAAATATGTATGTGCAAACAGACTTGTAGAGAGTCAGCTGAGTTATCTGAGGAAGAAATTACATCTATGAACTGAGGAAATCCATGCAATTGATATAAACTTAACCTGAACAAACACTGTTTGGAAATAACCCAGCAAAATAGAACATTAGTGCTGATTAGTTGCTTTGAGATGTCTGTTGCTGAAGTCCTACAGGTAGGCTCACCATTTATATTTGCTACCAGGCATCCAATGTGGTAAGTGCATAGCTGCAGAGTCAAAAATCTGCACTGTTTGTCTGGCTACACAGAGACTCACAGGCGTGGTGGATAAGATAGGCTGATGCTGAGGTAGGAGCTCACAGTGACAATATGAAGAGAAGGGAGGGGCAGGGGTTCAGGACAAGGCAGGGGTGAGGAGGAGGGGAGGCCCAATTTGGCATGTGGTGGAGGAAGATACCTTCCCAAGTCTTTTTCAATTCTACCACCTTTGGGATGATGTTTGCATTCATGCATTACCAGAAAGGTACTCGTGCAATCCTGTCAGACAGAAGAAAGAATGCTGACTTGTACTTCAGCAGAAAAAGGACATCCATTGGTCCTTACAAGTATTCGTTTTACCACCCCCTCAAAAAATACTCTAATTTTTTTTATAAATGAGAAGGCTCTTTCCATCCAGTCTGTGATGTGATTTCTTATTGATGAAAAATAATGCTGGTCTCATAGCAAATGTGACCAAGCACAACCAGAACACTGTGATTAATACCTTGAGCCATCAAACAGACAGAGATTTTAGGATGAGAGGCTGGATATCCATCAGGTCATGGGGGAGACCACAGATTCAAAACCCTGTGGGGATATGAAAAGTGGCTGTCCATGGTATGGACAGAGTCTCTAGGAGAGTGATTGTCCTTTTGAGAAGACCTCAGGTAGATATCTCAGGCAATATTGAACTGGAACCAAACAATTAAATCTTCAGATCCTCTATGGATTCCTTGTTTAATAGAAACATGGTAGTTAATAAACTTTTCCTTTCCCTTTCGTCTTTTTTCTCTCCTTCCCAAAATAAAGAGATGTGCTGATTTTCTTGAGCACAAGGTGGCAGGATTCAGCTTCACTTTAAAGCCAATGAAGGCTGAGCGGCGCTTCAAAGTGATAAGGTAAACACGCTATTAGGAATGCAAAATAAGCCAGGTCAAAGTAGCTAGATAAATCTGCAAATAGGTGGGACACTGGAAAGATTAAAATGCAGGCTAAAACACTCGGAGAGTGTCACACATTTGGAGGAAATTCAGAAAAGTGTAGTATGGAAGCCAAATTTTGTCATTTAGGGAAAAGATACAGGATCTCATGTAAGAGAAGGTACAGCTCAGAGTAGCTGTCAGCCCAAAAGATGCTGTCAAGTGGAGTTCATAGGCTTGCTCTGAGTCATAGTACAAACGTGTGTCTCTGACCACAGTTCTAGCTTGAATGCAAGAGCATCTTCATGTGAAAAGTTTCATGGGAATTGGGATATTTCGCTGGAAAACAAAATGTTTCTGAAAAGATCATAAGGTCCCATGAACTTTCCAACCTCTACCTCTTACAACAGCTAAAAATTCTCAAACTGTAAGGAAAGTTTAAGCAGTTTATTTCTGCACAGTTTTGGTAAGACTGGTCTTTGAGTACACATTCCTTTGGATGGGATAGGATACCACAGCACACACACTAATTATGTGGCCTTTACCTGTTCCCAGACTCTGTGGTATAATTCCTTATTCCTCCACCTAAACAACAGTACTCTCACAAGGAGTCTTTGAGTTTTCAGCTCCTACCTATTTTCCAAAAATACATGTTTAAATCTTTACAGATATTTACTATAATTCCTATGCTGTGACACATTCTTTATGTATGGGGTATGAGTTAAAGTTTCAAAACTTTTGAAGTAATCACTCAACTTCAGAACAGCGATTTCAAGCAAACGGTGAGTTTTTCAGAATCTTCAGGTTTTCCTTATAATATATTCAGATGAATGTTTTCCCATAACTTTATCTATGTCAGTAAAATAAAAATGGGCAAAGAAACATGTATTGCAAAGGAACTGGGAAGTCATTGATTTGTTTTCACCTACCTAAGGAAAATATCTTTACCAGCTTGGAAGAGGTTTACCTCATCTGCTCTGAGAAGGCTCTATTACTCAAGATTGAGTGTTCTCTGAAGTGATCTATTTGCTGTGCTTAACTGTCCTTTTCAAAAGTTTTCATGATGTCAAACATGAATCTGCCTTGTTGTAAATCAAGTATATTAATCCTTGTCCTATCCTATAGAGAAAAAATATTACCTGTCCTTGTTACATATTTCAGGGGTGTTATTGAACTTCCTGTCAGACTTTCATGAACTGAAGAAAGTGAGTTCTTTCAATCTTGACTCAATTCATATTTTCTAGCCCTCTGATCACACTCTATAGCTTTGTAATATTATGAAGTCTTTGCTATAATTTTACCACCCTCAGGATGATGTTTGTTCCTGTAGCATTACCAGAAAGCTACTTGTCTTTAGTGGTTTAGTTGTGGCTCTTCCTTAAATACTGATTCATATTGTGGCTCTTCTTTAAGTACTGATTAATAGGAAGTACTTGAGCATTTTAATTCTCTTCTACTTTCTTGAATCTATGAGAAAAAATATGCACAGAAAACATAGAAATAAAACTTCTCTATGTAGAAATGAAGTAATGATTTACCACCAAATTTCTTTGTACAGCTACCCTCTAGTAATTCTAGAATTTAAAGACTCGAAGCAGGACCTGTGCCTGTAGAAAGGGCTGCTGTTTCCCCCAGCAGCCAACAATGGTATTTCTTGATGGAGCATTCTGTATCTTTCATTTTGACAACTTTGGTGGCCTGAAAATATGACACTTTTAGTTTGTTTCTTCCCACATTCTTCTCCCAGTCAATTTTGGTAAAATACTAATTTTAGGGAGAAAATAGATTCTTAACAGTATTTGGCAATTTTACCATCATATTTTCATGCCTGGTAATTTTTGACATTGTTAAATAGAAATCTATGTGTCTCAGACCTTCTAAGATTACTGTACAGTTCAGCAACACTGAACTGAAAAATATTTTGAATTGCAGCAAACATAAACTGATGTTTACCACAACAGGTACTCTTCTCCAAGTGTTGCCTCAAGCTTTATTTAACACTGGTCTGCAGCCTTATGATTATATGACCTGGCCTATAGAACTTTACTTTTTCAACACTATTGAATTATCTAATTAGCCAATTTGATCCAACGGCATGGTTTTATCGAAAACTTCTTTGGCAACTCCTCAATTTCACGGATTCACAGAAAACAGAGATGTCTGTGAAAGAGTAAGGTTCACTATATGCTGATTAGTATATATGCTGATTCAGTATATATGATTAGACTAATGTGAGCTTGTTGCCATAGGATTGCTAGGAGAGTTAAAATGGTATTTATTGCCCTAAAGAGGTGATAGCTTTGTGTTCCTCCAGGGGAGAGAGAGGGAATAAAGCACATTTTCCAAAGCTGTAAGAAGACTTGGCTGGAGAACAGTAATGCGGGTGTTGCAGCAAATTACAGGTTTCAAAATTTCTATCCTGTATTAAGGCTCTTTCTCAAGGTTTTTTCTAATTTGAATCATATTGCAGTTTATGCTATTAATTTTTCTTTCTCTTTCCTCCAAATTCTTTAATAATCACCAATGTTTTCCTCTAGAAATTGCTGCATGACATTTTAATTTTTCTTGTTACCCCTCCATAAATATTTTGTTCAGAGAAATACTTTACTTCAAAGTGCTGAACTTCATAGAGCGGCAGTATATTCGGAGTATCTATACAACAATTTTACTTAAACTTCAAAACTTTGGTTAAAGGTATGACTGACAATTCTTTTGATTTAGTCTGCATTTGTTGATTTATGGGGAGGTATATTATTTCTGTATGGTGTGTTCCAGTTAAGTATGGCTATGACTTTCTTAGTAGGATGTTCTTTTAATGCAAAATCAACCCATGCCTAGCCTACAAAGCCACCTGGTCAGATGTGGGTTTTCCTGTTAGCCTGAGCAAATGCAAATGGAATGGAGTGTGTTTTCAATTAGTAAGTGTCACGTCAAATTGATTCCCAAGCACCTTCTAACAACGTATTAACTGTTCATTCTGTACCTTTGTAATAGGAATTCTTTCTTCTTTGATTCGCCCTTATTTAGTAACTTCAAAATACTCACCTGGGTAACTAGGTAAGAAAGGACCATCAACATCTTTATACTTAATGGTGAGGTGGTAAGTGAAGAACCTGTTGTCACAGACGAAGGACTACCTGCCATGTGCCAGGACAGAAGCACAGAATCTCAGAAGCGGCAGTGGAAGAGCATCTCAGATCAGCTGGTCTTTGCACCTGCGAATACGTGACACACGTATGTCGCTTCAGCCTCGATGTAGGGGAATGGTAACTACTTCTGGAGGTGCGCCGTGTGCCGTCCCAGCCGGGCCTGGGTGTGGGTGTGCGGCGGGCTGCGCGGCGCCCCGCGGGCCGGGCCGCGGTGCACGGCGGCGGCGGGACGCGCGGTGGCGCCTGCGGAGCGCTCAGCGCGGGGCACTGCGGCGGGATCCGCTGCACCGGCAGCGCTGCGGAAACCCGCAACCGGGGGTGGGGGCAGACAAACGAAAAGCAGCCCCGACCGCGGAGCTGTCAAGGCGAAAACAAGGCATTTTAGGGTCTCTCATCCGTCGTCTCCCGGAGTTCTGGCACGACGCCCGTTTATCACCCGGTGGCGAGCTCCCGCCCTGGAGCATGCCAGGTGCCTCTCGGCACGGTGCCTCCGTCCTCCCGGCGGGGCACACAGTCCGCGCAGGCGGCGGCGCGCTGCCCATCCCGTGGGGTGCGTGTACGCCTGTATGAGTATGTGTGTACATGTATATGTACGTGCGAGGCTGAAAGCTCAAGTACGGACTGCCTATTGGTATCTGCTCTTCGGCACCCTCCCTTTCCCCCGTTCCCTCCTCCTCCTTCCCTTGTCTTTTTTTTTTTTCATTTTTATTTCAGGCTCATTTTGTGGAGTTTCTGCCCCTCTCTGCGTCAGCCCCACGTCACTTTGCCGGCAGCTCCCCGTCTTGGGCTGGAGCAGGAGCCGGAGCGGCTTTATTATCAGCTGGAGGGAGGGAGGAGGAGACGGTGCATAAAGGGGCGAGCGCGGAGCTCTGAGCCCCGCCGCCGCCGCCGCTCGCTGCGCCTCCCTCGCCGCCCGCTCGCCGTCCCTCCGGCGGGCAGCGGCCGCCCGAGCCCCCGCAGATAGGAGCGCAGCCTCCGCCACCTGCCCCCGCCGCCCCGCGCGTTTTGCAGCATCATCGGCAGCAGCCGCGGGGGCAGGCGGTGCCGCTGTCCGCCCGCGGGGCTAGGGGCAGGTGCCGCGCCGCGCCGGAGGCCCCGCTCGCCCCTGTCGCCGCGGCGCGCA